GCCGGGTGGCTCTCGGGCTGGGAGGGGGGGGGGCGTGTGGCGCGCTCCACGTGGCTCTAAGGGCTGGGGAGGGAGGGCGGTGTAGTGTGCTCCGTGTGGCTCAAAGGGTGGGGTGGAGGGTGATGTGGCATGCTGTGAAAGGCCACTGTATTGATTTGCAATGAAGGCGCTCTGGGGATGCAATGTGTATCTGGCTTGGAGACATGGGTGGAGGATGAAGGTAGGGCTCAGAGAGGCAGGCGCGCTCCACGTGGCTCTAAGGGCTGGGGAGGGAGGGCGGTGTAGTGTGCTCCGTGTGGCTCAAAGGGTGGGGTGGAGGGTGATGTGGCATGCTGTGAAAGGCCACTGTATTGATTTGCAATGAAGGCGCTCTGGGGATGCAATGTGTATCTGGCTTGGAGACATGGGTGGAGGATGAAGGTAGGGCTCAGAGAGGCAAACCCCCATCCCCATCCTGACCCTCTCTGCTGGGACCCTGCCCCCCATAGGAGCCAAGCCACCTCTTCGCCCCCCGACCACAAGGAGGTGGGGCAGCGCCCTGCATGCATGGCCCCCACCACTATAGGGAGAGGGGAGGAGGTGCGCGCTCTGGCCCCAGAGCACAGAGAGGGTGAGCGCTCGGGGGTGGCAACGCTCTACCCCCAGTACGCCTACAGTAAGTGTCCTGGGCCAGAGCGTGGGCGAGGCCAGGCGTCCCCTGCCTAGCATACCGGCTGCCCTTGCTCCAAGAGTGGTTGAGTTGGCTGAGGGGTGGTGCAGCTAGCCTGGGATATACGGTAACTTCTTCCATACCCCAGCTGAGTTAGATCAGGGCACGTTGGAAACCTGCATCCGCTCACTTCAACATTCAACATCCGTCACTTATGCTCTGCACAGACGCTGACTGGGGACAGCAGACCCCCGGGAAATCCCCCTCCCAATCTTTAACCAGATCTGCTTACCTGATCTCTTGTCCAAAAGCCACGCACGCTCCGGTCCAGAGCCAAACACAGTACGGATCACGGGAGGCCAAGCAGCTCCTGTGATGGATTGGGAAGTAGATCAGGCATAGAATCGCAGAAACAGGCCACCTGATCCAGTCCCCTGCACTTAGGTGGGACTCAATATTATCTAGACCAAGGGTGGGCAATAAGGCAGAGGCAGTTCAGGCCACAGCTGCTTTATTTACCTGTGCGTCCACAAGTATGGCCACTTGCAGCTCCCATTGGCCGCAGATCACCATTCCCGGCCAATGGGAGCTGCAGGAAGTGGCGCAGACCAGGACACCGCTTCCCACAGTTCCCATTGACCTGGAACGGTGACCCACGGCCAAGGGGAGCTGCGATCGTTGGTACCTACGGAGGCACAGGTCAATACAGCAGCAGCGGCTCACCAGGGGCCTAACCTGGCGAACCACATCTGGCCCGAGGGCTGGTTATTGCCCACCCCGATCTAGACTAGGGGTCTGCAACCTATGGCTCTCGAGCCAAACATGACTCAGTATGGAACCAAATATGGCTCTTCTGCCATTCTTAAAATGCAGGCAACTTCTTACATGAACAAGAAAAATCAATTCAAAATTTTAAAAACGCGTCATTACTCCTGTAGCTTGAATGCGGCGCACGGACCGCGATTTGACCAGTGATGATGTAAATTCCAAGAAATGCGCGAAAAGATGCAGCAGCAGAAGTGCCATTCGATAAAGTCCATGGGTACAATGTTTCATTGACGCTATTATTAATCATCACGTCAATTCTCAATAATATTAAGCTGTCTATTTCCACTCGTGCCAATGGGCATTCCCATACGGCTCTTTGCTGACCACTTGTTCTGAATTTGGATGTAGTTTGGCTCTTTGGTTTGAAAAAGTTGCCAACCCCTCTAGTCCAACCCTGACAGGTGTTTGTCTAACTTGCTGTGAAAAATCTCCAGCATGCAGATCCCAAAACCTCCCTAGGTCATTTGTTGCAGTGCTTAACTAGCCTGACAGTCAGGGCATTTTTCCTAATGCCTGTTCTAAATCTCCCTTGCTGCAATTTAAAACCATTACTTCTTCTCCTACCCTCAGGAGTTAAGGAGAATAATGTATCACCCTCCTCTTTATCACAGCCTGTTAAGGACTTCCAGGCTGTTATCATGTCCCCTCCCTGCTCTCTTCTCCACACTAAACAAACACCATGTTTTTAATCTTCTCTCTCAGATCAGGTTTTCTAAACCTTAAATATTTTTTTTGTTGCTCTCTCTGGACTTTCTCCAATTTGTCCACATCATTCCTGCAACGTGGCACCCAGAACTGGACACGATATCCCAGGCGAGACCTTATCAGCACCAAGTAGAGTGGAAGAATTATTTCTCATGTCTTGCTTACAACGGTCCTGCTAATACATCCCAGAATGATCTTCACTTTTTGTGCAAGGGTATAACACTGTTGACTCATATTGAGTTTGCAATCTACTACTGTATAACCCCAGATCTCCCTCCTGGGCAGTCCTTTCCCATTTTCTATGCGTGCCACTGATTGTTCCCCCCAAAGTGGAGTACTGCCTTTGCTTTTGTTCTTATTGAATTGCGTCCTATTTAATTCAAGCCTTCTCCAGCGTGCCCAGATCATTTTGAATTTTTAATCCCGTCCCACAAAGCGCTTGCAACTCCCCCCAGCTCAGTGTCATCTGCAAACTTCGGAAGTGTGCTCACTGGGCCATTATTCAAATCAAATATGAAGATAGTGCCTGGAACCAGACCCCCAAGAGAGCCTGTCCGGACGTCACTCAAGATGTCATACCAGCTAGATTGTGACCATTACTCTCGGAGGACATTTTTCCAGAAAGCTGTGCACCCATCTAACTTCCGCTCTAGCCAGGGGTGCCAGATCACCCCTCGGCCCCAGGCTCCACCCTACTCAACCTCTTCCCTTAAGACCAGGGGTGGGCAAGATATGGATCCACCCTGCCAAGCCGTTTGATTGGGCCCACGGCCCTGAAGCTGTTCAAAATGGCCGATGGCTTTCTCCCCTTTCCCTCCCCCGCCAGGGGGGTGTGGTGCCTAGAGGAAGCTGCCAGCTGTTTTGAACAGCTGGGAGTGGAGCCTGGGGGCTTGGGAGTGTGCAAAGTTTCCCCTCCCCTGCCACTGGGGAAGCAGTGGTTCCCTCTAGGTGCTGCAAGACCCTGGCAGGGGGCGAGAGAGTTTGTGTGTCCCCCTTCCCCCAGGTCCTGCTCCCAGCTGCGATGATTGGCCTGAGGGTGGGGGGAGCACTCAAACTCTCTCGCCTCCTCTATGGGGCACACGGCCCTGAACGGCACATGGAGAAAAGAGCCTGTTGGGCTGCTGGCTGGGAGCCGCCTAAGGTAAGTGACTCCTGGCCAGAGCCTGCCTCCAGCACCCCACCCCGTTGCCACTCCTCAAATCCGTGCCCCAGGTCACCGCACCCTCCTTCTCCAGGTCACCATCCGAATCTTCTGCACACACATCCCGCCCCAGGTCACAATTCCCTCCCAGGCCCTGCTACACCCCTCCCCCAGGTCAAAATTCACTCCTGTACCCCTTCTCCTTCCTGGACTCTGCACCCCAATCCCTCGCTCCTGGTCACAACCCCCTCATTCACCCAAACTCCCTCGCAGACCCCACATCCTCTCCTGCACCCAGTCCCCAACCTTCGCTCCCTTCTGCACCCAGCCTCCGTCCCAGATCCCACAACCCCTCCATAGGAAAGTGCAGCCCTTGGCCATTTTCCAAAATCTTAGAGTGGCCCCCCCATCAAAAATTGTTGCCTAAGACCCTGTCCTTGCCCTGCTTTCCCCATCCCTGCCCTGCCCCCCCACCTCTTCCCCCAAGATCCCACCCACCTCTTCCCAAGGGAAGTTGGATGCACCCAATGGAAGTTAAATGCACATTTACCTGCCTCCAGCTATGTCTAGACTATAGGCTTCTTTCAGAAGCAGCTTTTCCGGAAGAGATCTTCTGAAAAAACTTCTTCCAAAAGAGAGCGTCCACCCAGAAAAAGCGCATTGAAAAAGCAATCTGCTTTTTCTAAAGACAGTGTCCGCACTGAATGGACCCTATCTTGCATTTCAGCTGTGATTACTATGGGCGGAGTGGCCACCAGGGCACCTGTGCTTTTCCTCTTTCCTTGTCTTGCGAAAGAACTCCCTTTTCCCCATCCACACACTCCTTTTTGCGAAAAAGTTCTTTCGGAAAAAGGCTTCCTCCTCGTAGAAAGAGATTTACCAATGTCGGAAAGCCCCTCTGTTCTTTCGATTTTTTTCCAAAAGAACGCAATTGCAGTGTGGACATAAGTGAAATTTTTTCAGAAAAACGGCCGTTTTCCCAAAAAACCTCTACAGAGTAGACATGCCCTCCAAAACAGCTGGCATGGGCCACTGTCAGGAAAGCAGACACGATGGCCCATTGATATATTCTGGGCTAGTGAATCCAATGGGCCTGATTCTGCTTTCACTTGCGGCCTGATCCAAGGCCAGCGAAGTCAGCGGGGGAATGTTCATTGGCTTTCCTGGGCATCAGCTCAGACCTGGATGATGCTCATGTCAATAATGATGGGCAGCCCTCCCGAGGACGGTCAGTTTGGGTTTGTCTAGACTTCATGCCTCTGCCTACAGAAGCATGTAAAATAGGTTACCCGACATAGTCAACGAAGCGGGGATTTAAATATCCCCGGCTTCATTAAAATAAAAATGGCCGCCGCGTTGTGCCGGATCAGCTGATTGTCGGCCCTGCGCAGCAATCAAGACGCGGATTGGTCGACAGGGGAAGCCTTTGTCGACTGATCCTGTAACCCTCGTTTCACGAGGCATAAGGGAGCAGTCGACAAAGGCTTCCCCTGTCGACCGATCCGCATCTTGACTCGCGCGCTGTGCCAACGATCAGCTGAGCCAGCACAGCACAGCAGCCATTTTTAGGTTAATGAAGCCGGGGATATTTAAATCCCCGCTTCATTGACTATGTCGGGTAGCCTATTTTACATGCATTTGTCAGCAGAGGCATGTAAAATAGGCGTACCCTAAGGTGCCACAGGACTCCTTGTCATGTTTGCAGATCCACGACTTCTAAATCCCCGCTTCGCTGACTATGTCGGTTAGCCTATTTTACATGCCTCTGCCGACAGAGGCATGAAGTCTAGACATACCCTTTCAGAAAACGCGGCACAGAGAGAGGAACTGAACCATCCGAAATCCCACAAATCACTGGGGGAGCTGAGAATGGAATCCAGAAGTCCTGGCTCGCTGTCCTGCCCACTCTAACCACTAGACCCCACTCTCCTCTCAGAGCTGGGAGTAGAACCCAGGGGTCCTAACTCCCACCCCCATCCTGGTCCACCACGAGACAGGTCCCTGCGCGTCTAACGCCAGCACAGTTCTACTCCATGTGCTGTGTCCCCATGGAGGGGGGCTGCCCCGGGCTATGCCGGGGGCTTTTTATAGGTGGTTTCAATTGCCAGATAAAGGACACAGAAAGGTCAGCAAGGGATTGCAGGGGGCTCTGGGTTTCCTGGAACTGGCTGGGGTTGGACACCCACACCTGTCGGGGCTGGGACACGGGCCAGGCAGAGGCACTGGGGGAGCCAATGGCTATGTATGGTGCGCACACACCCTACGCATACACGCTCCCCTGACACTCATACACACGTGCTCTACACCCCCATGCCCTGCACACACACACACTCCCTACACACATACACACACTGCCCCTCGACACGCATACACACATGCTCTACACCCCTGACCCCCTGCATACACACACATACTTCCCTCAACACACACTCCCTACACACACTGCCCCTCAACACACACACACATGCTCTACACCTCCCTGCTCTGCACACACACACACACTTCCCTCAACATATATCCCCATCACACATACACACTGTCTCTCAACACACTTACTATCCACCCTTCTACCCTTCACATACACACACACTTCCCTCAACACACATAACGCATGCACACATACACACACTGCCCCTCCATACATACTTTACACCAACCATGTACACACACACTTCCCCAACACATACACCCTGAACACACACTCCCGACACACATCCTATACAATCTCCCACCCTGCACACACACACTTCTCTGAACATACACCCTTATACACATACACACTCTGCCACTTGATGCACATAGTGTGCACCCCCAACCATGTACGCATACACACACTTCCCTCAACACCTCCCCGCTACACACACACACACACACACACACACACACGCACACGCACTATGCCTCAATACACACCCTCGGGTGTGTACACCCTGCACACACACTTCCCCCAAACCCCACACACCTAACCCCCACACAGTTCCCTTCCCTCTCGCACCCACACACCATGTGAATGGAACCGTGGCCCCTGCTGCAGCCTTGGGACTCTGCTGAGAAGGGTCCCTCCAAGCCAAGGGCAGAGGCACAGAGGGGTGTCAGGGCAGAAGGCCCCCGCCCCTCCCCCGGCCCATCCCCCACTCACTTCCCACAGCTCCCATGGGTGTCGCAGCGGCTGAGCGGCACGCGCACCACGCAGCTGGAGAAGGCCACGTACAAGGCCTGGCGGGCCTTGTCCAGCTCCAGACCCACAATCCGCCTGTCCTCTCTCTTCACGCTGCACCTGAGGGACAGCACAGAGAACCAGGGTCAAAACTAAGCCTGGGGCCCCATTGCCGTGCTGCTCTGGGCCCCCCTCCTCCCACGAGAGCACTGGGGCAGCCGAATTGCTCCGTTTGAGAGGTAGGGAAACTGAGGCATGGAACGGGGATGGGGGGCAACCAGCCATGAATGGAAACTAGGAGTCTGGCCCAATGTTCCCTCTAAGATTTTCTATCCGCGAGCGGAGTGAGTTTTGTCATGTGCACAGGGTGCACCGCCTCACTGTGGCCCGGTTCCAGCTTCAGCACACCGGGCAGCCCCCCCACCATGAGGCCTGGGTCACTGGAGTGCTGGGTGCTGGATCTCTGGATGCTGGAGCATCGCTACTGCCACGCTGACCCCCACTGCCACCAGGGACTCTCCCCAGCAGACCCGCTGCAGCCCAGGACTCCCACATTCTGCCTGGACCATGTGATGGCTACACTCAGATGGAGCTGTGGTGCTATTTTTAGCACTACTGCCCTGGCCCAGGAGCAGCAGTCCCGGAACACAGGATAGCTACCTGTCATGCGGCCCCGCCCACAGGAACAGCTGGGGCTGGAGCTGCATGGTGGCTGCTGGGGCCTGGACTGCAGCTGGGGCTGTGGTGCTATTTTTAGTACCACGGTCCAAGCTCCAGCTCCTAGCTACCATGTGGTGGCTACTCAGCTGTTCCTGAGGTGGAACAGCCATCCGCCACATGGCTCTGCCCCTGGGAGCAGCTGGGGCTGCGGCTCTGCTGAGGAGGTGGGCAGGACTGAAATTTTTGGTGTGCACCCATTGGAGGCGCACACCTTAGAGGGAACCCTGGTCTGGACTTCTGGGTCCCTTCTCTAATCTCCCAGCCACATTCAGGAACAAAGCCCTGGAGTCAGGATACCGCTCCCCCTAACTGCTAAACCCCATGTCCCCAAAATTGAGGCTAGGATCCAGGAGACCTGCTCTGACCACTGGTCCCACTCTGTCTAGGAACTGATTCACTCAGTGTCCATCTCTCCATCCAGCTGCCCCTGCAGAGCCCCACCTACACTTACTGGGCCGGGCTATAGACGCTGATCTCCTCCAAGAGCAGGGTCTCCACGCTGGAGTTCTCCTGAGTCCCAGTAAGAACCTTCAGCACCTTCCCGTCCTCCGAGCCGAGGAAGAGCACCGTGTAGTTCCCACGTGGGCCGGCGGCTGTATCAACGGCCAGCTGGGTCAGCTTGTACCTGATAGGGGTGGCAGGGAGCGAGGTCTGGGCACAAGCCTGGCATGGCAACCCAGGGCACTTGGAAGTCCTTGGATGCAAATGCCCATCAACATGCATGTGCAGCCACATGCTCACGTGTGCACACACGCACGCACGCATGCATAGGCATGCCCCTGCACCTGCACTACTGCTCCCGGGAAAACATGCACACACACACACACACACATACCTGTGCATGTCGGATCACGCCTGGAAATGCATGTGCACAACAGACACACACAGGACTAGATCTGAGCATGGCGCATGCATATGCAAACGCACACCAGGGCACGCACGTGTCACGCTTGTGAACACACCCAATACATCAGCACACGCACAGAGGCCGGTCTGTTCCCAGGTCCCAGGGCCTGATCACTGACCACTGGCCAAAAACCATTTGCTGGGAACAATTTACTGGCCCAAGGGATCCCAGCCCCAATGCCCAGGGTCAATAGCTGTCAGGGACAGAGGCAGTCCCTCCTCGCCATTCCCCCTCCCTGACCCAGGGCAGGACACGTGGGGCTGTTCAGGGTGAGCCAGCAGGGGCTAGGGACTGAGCCAGAGCACAGTTTAGCTGGGAAGACGTCCGGGCTGCATCAGCTCCTGGAGGAAGGATCCTTTCGCCCTGGGACGAGATAGCACCTTGTGGCAGAGCACAGAGGTCGGTCTCCAGGGGGTGCAGCAAGTGGAGCCCAGGAGAACCCAGCCCTGGGCACTTGGCTAGGTGGGTCCTGGCTGGGCTGGACGGTTCCCCCCGTCCCAGCTGTCCAGGTGGCACTGGCCCTTCCTCGTCTGCCCTCCAGCCCCAGCGCCCACGTGGTACCTGCTGGTGGTCTTGGTGAACCAGGGCCTTCCCGTGGCGGAGGGCACGGCCTCGTCCAGCAGCGGGTAGGACTTGATGAAGGCCAGTGTCTCATCAGGGAACTCGTTGGAGGTTCTGTAGCTAGCCGCTTGGCCAACCCCGGCACAGCTGCCTGGCCTGGAGGGATGGAAAACCCAGATGTGGATGTGGGCGGCCTAGTTTGGCCCCTCAGCGGGCTGGGGCAGTGCTGCTGCTTCCTACCCCGCATGCTGTAGCTGCTCCACACCTCCGACTCCCAGTGGGGGGCTGGGCTGGGGAGCCCCCAAGGGATCTGAGGTTGCTTTAACAAAACCTTGTCTCCGTCTATTTACATATAACTAAGGCGTCAGGGTAGAACCCCTAGGCCCCACTTCCCCCTACAGCTTGGAAGAGGCGACCTTCTCTGCTCTAACTACTAGACCATACTCCCCTCCAAGAGCCAGGAGAAAAATCCAGGAGTCCTTGTTCCCCTCCCGCTGCTCTGATGCGCAGACTCCTGTTCCAGCCCTTAGTCCCAGCGACTAGAACCCAGGAGTCCTGGCTTCCGGCCCCTGGCATGACGGCCAGGCCAGGGGCTGTCTCGTTTTGTTGCAGGGGGCTGGTTACCTGGGTCTCGGCACCTTCTCCTCCGGGACGGGGGTCCAGGCGGAATCCGCGTTCTTCTGCTCCTTGAACTTCCCGCTGAACACTCGCTCGATGTCGTCCAGATAGAAGGCGCAGACGGCCGAGCCGGTGATGCTGGGGGGGAGGAGGGGCAGAGGTGAGGGGAGACATGTGGAGGGCTGGCCTCTGCTCAGCTGCTGCGGGGCCCAGTTCGGATTCAACTCCCCCAGCCAAGCCCGCTAGGCAACCAGCAGGCCCCTCCCCTCCGAGGGGGCTGCAGGAATCTGGGGGGGGGGGGCTGCTGAGGCCTTGAGGCATGGGGTGGGGTCACAGTTAGTGTTCGGCAGTAAGCAAGGAGGGGCCCCATTGCCCCTACCCCCAACAATCCCCCTTCCCTGGCATCTCAGCCTACACAACCCTCCACATGTTCCCACCCCCACACCACATTCCTATCCCACCCCCTCCCTGGGACTCTCCTCCAGCCCCTCCCACCCTGTCCTTCCTGCGCCCCCCACCACCACCCCATCACCAATCCAGGGTTCTCCTCCCTTCACTGCCTGCCCCACATTCCCCCTAGCACCCCTCAGCCCTGATCCCCTCCACCTTCCCATAAACACTAGTCTCTTTCCATCCCCCCTGCTCGATCCAGCCCCTCCCCCCATCCCTGGGACATGGCCCTGCCTTCTTAGGGGGGGTCCTCTGCCAGGCGGATCTTAGCAGCTGATTTCTTGTAGCCTCTGGCCTGTTTGCGCCATGAAACCTCCAGGCCCCAGAGCCTGGGGTGCCCCAGTCCCGCCCACCCTGTCCTGGATTCATCACCTCATCTAGCTGCTGGCTCCCGAGATCTTATTTCCCTTTGACTCTCTGCTGCGTGTGGGCTGGATTCCCCCCCTTCCTCCCCCCGCTTACCCAGCCCGTCCCCCCCCACATCCCCACGGCGTGGCGCTGGGGCCATTCGTGTCCCGTTACAGAAGCAGTGGGCTGAGCGGTCAGACCTGAGAGACGGCAGCGAGTGGGGGGCTGGGTGTATGTGGGGGGCTAAGTGGTGAAATACACCAGCCGGGCCACATTCCTCTCCACTGGCCACCCCATTGCACAATGACAGAGGCAGCCCCTGGCGTGTCGGTTGCCTGCTCCCGCCTAATAAGCCCTCTTCCAAGCGAGGCTCGCACGGGAAGTGCTCCGTGGGGTTGTGACACCTTCCTTCCCTTGTAGCACCTGGTTTTGTAACAGTGAACAGCTCCCCCCAGCCCAGGTAACTGGCGAGGAAAACAGCTCCTTTCTCAGGGCCCTGCCAGTGCCAGCATGTTCTTAAGAACACCAGAACAGCCATACTGGGTCAGACCAAAGTTCCATCTAGCCCAGTATCCTGTCGGCTGACAGTGGCCAATGCCAGCTGTCCCAGAGGGAATGAACGGAACAGGGAATCATCAAGTGATCCCTCCCGTCACCCATTCCAAGTCCTGACAAACAGAGGGAAAGGACACCATCCCTAACCGACCTGAATTTAGCTAGCTCTTTTCTGAACCCCATTACAAAGTCTCAGTCTTCACAACATCCTCTGGCAAGGAGTTCCACAGGTTGACAGTGCGTTACATGAAGAAGTACTTCCTTTTGTTTGTTTTAAACCTGCCACCTACTAATTTCATTTGGTGGCCCCTAGTTCTTATGTCATGGGAAGGAGTAAATCACTTTTCCTTGTTTACTTTCTCCTCACCAGTCATAATTTTATAGACTCCTCTCATATCCCCCTTTAGTTGTCTCTTTTCTAAGCTGAAAAGTCCCAGGCGTATTAATCTCTCCTCATATGGCAGCCGTTCCAAACCCCTCCCCATTTTAATTCCCCTTTTCTTAACCTTTTCTAATTCCAATAGCTTTTTTGAGATGGGACAATCAGATCTGCACACAGCATTCAAGATACTGGCATGCCAGGGACTTAGCAAGGCAGTAAGATATATTCTGTCTTACATACCCCTTTCTTAACGTTTCCCAACATTCTGTTTGCATTTTTGGCAGCTGCTGCACATTGAAAATTTCTTGTCGGGTCTTCTGTGAGCTCTAAGGCTGTGCATGCTGGTTTGTTAGAACTCTCGGGTGCTAGACAGAGTACACTGGTTTGTTACTGTAGGGTCTCTCAGCACAGCTGGGACTACACATCTGCCTTTGTTATTGTAGGGTCTTTCAGGGGTACACACAGATTTATTATTTTCATAGGGTTTCTCCTGCACCCTGGAGTTGTGCCAACTACTTTGTTATTGTACAGTCTCTGGGCGGCGCACACTGGCTTATTATTGTAGGGTCTCTGGGTTGTGTGCACTTGTTTGTTATTGTAGGGTCTCTGGGCTGTGCACCACACTTGTTATCACAGGGTCACTTATAAAGAATCCCACGGGCTTTGCAGGTTGGAAGTGACAGGGCGATGGGGGAGATACGGCAGGAGGCTTTATACATCCGGGCCCCCTCTCACAGCTCTGCGCCTGCCCCTTTCAGCCTTGTCTAGCAGGACACGGATTGAGCCTCTCACCCAACTGGGAGGCAGGGACGTTTTCTTATCCCCGTTGTCCTGATGGGGAAACTGAGGCACAGCCTGATTAAGTGACTTGTCCATCGTTGCATAGGAAGTCAGTGGCAGAACCCAGCTCCCCCCTCCCCAGACTGGAGCATGGATCTCAATGCCTCTCCTCCTGCCAGCACCCCCAGACCCTTCTCTCACTTTCCCTCTTGCCCCAGCACCCCCAAGAGGCCCCAGAAGGAGCAAGATGTCTCACAGGCACATGGCATCCCAGTCCCCCGTGTCAAGAGCCTGGCTCGGGTACTGCTGGACCCAGGAGATCCCGCCCCACAGAGCGAGCCAGCAGGGCTGGCGGGGGAGGGGGTACCTGTTGGACTGGGTGGCAAACACCCCGAAGACGGCGGGCCGCCCGTTGACCTGGAAGACGTCGGTGACGGCCTGCAGCACGTCAAAGTAGAAGAAGGCGTCTCCGGGCACGGAGCAGTTGAGCCGGGCCTTGAGGAAGGAGGTCCAGTACTTCTCCAGCACCCGGGGCGAGCCCCCCATGTCGTTCTTGCACACCCGGCCCACGCGCGAGAAGATCACCTGCCAGGGCAGGGCGCTGGTTAGGGGGAGGGGCTGAGGGCACGAACACCCAGCTCCAGACAGGCTGGGGCGCCTGCGGCATTAGCCTTGGGGCTTAGCGCTTGCCCTGCCGTGGGTGAAGACTTGGGGGGTTATTCCCTTCCTGCTGTGGGGCTCAACTAAAGCATGGCCTGGCCAGAGACCACTGCGATGGGCACACAGCGCGCTCCAAGCCCAAGGGGCAGACAGTTCAAAACAGCTCAGGATCCCACCCCGCCATGGAGAGCAATGGGGAACCCCTCCCGTCCCCTAATGGAACAGCTGGGAATCCCCCCCATGCCCCTCTCTGGAGCAAGACAGCAGCAGTGCAGAGATTCAGAAAGGGGCCTTGGGGATTCAGAGACCTCTTCACCTTGCCTGCCTATGGGATTTAGATGCCCAGGTTCCTTCAAGCCCACTGCAAAGCCCCAGGCTCGGAGGTGCTGGGCACAGGCCTCTTTGGCTGTCAGGGTGCTACTGGGCATGGCCGCGCTGGAGCGTGGGTGTCAGCAAGAGGCTGTCCTGGAGGGCACTGTGTCAACACCCTCCCTCCCCCCATGGCTGCACCCCATCCCTTGGGGCCTGGCCGCAGTGAGCCCCCCCATCACCACTCTGCACTCACCCTGCCCAGAGTGGTGTATTCCATGGAGATCTCCCGGAAGAAGAAGTAGACGTAGTTCCCATACTCCAGGGCATGAAGGAAGTGGGGCTCTGGGGAAGGGGCAGAGAAGGGGGATGAAGCGGGGAGGAACCACTAAGGTAGTCGTGTTTGCTCAGGCACCAGCCACGGAAAGAGCTCAGAGCATTGTGCAGATATTAATTCAGGAAGCCTCAGTCCCCCCTTCCCCCTTCTCCTGCAGGGCTGGGTCAATGTTACCCCCACTCCACGTGGGGGAAACTGAGGCAGAGGGTGGGGCAGGGCCTTGCCCAAGCTAGTAGAAGAATCAGGGACAGATCCCAGAAGACCAGTCTCCCCTGCTTTAACCACCAGACCTCACTGCCCTCCCAGAGCAGGGAATAGAAGCCAGGAGTCCTGGCACCCAGTCCCCTGCTCTAACTATTAGTCTACACTTCCTGCTAGAGTTAAGGCTCCGGCTACTACCTTTGATGTGAGCCATTTGTTTCCCTGGGACAGCTCCAAGCAAATCATGCCCTGGGGGCAAGGCCCCCACCCCCACCACGAGCCAGGGCTTCCCCTTGACTTCCCGCCCCCTCACCTCGCAGCCACTTGGAGTCGTACTTGATGGTGCGGAGCACGGGGCTTCTCTCGCTCAGGCTGCGGTAAATCACTGCATCGCTGGCCTGGAAGTCTGCCACCGTGGCTGAGTACAGGTTCCCGTCTGTGCGGTGGGAGGGAGAATGAGGGGGAGAGAGAAAAAGGAATATTAGATGCATAAATAAATAGAGGGGGTGTTTGGAGATGATAGCCAGCCAGCCAGCCAGCCAGATAGATAGACAGACAGATGGGTGTATGGGGACAGACAGACAGATATGTGTATGGGGACAGAAAGACCTGCCCCCCCCACGTCAGGGTGTCAGAAAGCAAACCCCCATGTGGGGCGGAACTGTGCCCAACCCCCCTGCAGCCCCAGAACGACCCCCAGACCCAGACACCCTGAGCAGAGCAGGGGGCTGAGCCCCAAGAATAAGCAATCGTCACGGCTGCTGGGGCGCAGTGTTCCAGCACCACAGTGTCCCTGACCATGCGCTTTGAAGTCTGGGACCATGCAAGGGGAGAAGCGGCTTTTCCCCCAGACAGGCCGGTGTGTCCGGACGTGTGTATGGGGACAGAAAGACCTGCCCCCCCCACGTCAGGGTGTCAGAAAGCAAACCCCCATGTGGGGCGGAACTGTGCCCAACCCCCCTGCAGCCCCAGAACGACCCCCAGACCCAGACACCCTGAGCAGAGCAGGGGGCTGAGCCCCAAGAATAAGCAATCGTCACGGCTGCTGGGGCGCAGTGTTCCAGCACCACAGTGTCCCTGACCATGCGCTTTGAAGTCTGGGACCATGCAAGGGGAGAAGCGGCTTTTCCCCCAGACAGGCCGGTGTGTCCGGACGGCTCAGCTTAGCAGCCGCGCACTGTGACCCCTCTGCCTGTGTGTATTCTGCGGGGAGCAGACCCCCTGTGCTGCCCATGTGGGGCCTGGACCCTGTCACACCCCTCCCCCCCACCCCATCCTGGCACGCAGCACCCTGCAGCCTGCAGACCCCCTGTGCTGCCCATGTGGGGCCTGGACCCTGTCACACCCCTCCCCCCCACCCCATCCTGGCACGCTGCACCCTGCAGCCTGTGTCCCCTCCCCCGCCGTGGGCCTACCTGCGAAGAGGGCAACGTTGGTCTGCTTGGCATCGAAAGGGCAGCGGGCCTGGCCGTTCAGCTCCTCCCCTTCCTGCTCCAGGCTGCTGATCTGGGAACCAAAGGCCGAGGTGAACTCATGGGCCACGCCAGTAGCAGCCCAGGGCCCTGCCCAAGTCAGGACCCAGATCCCAGGTGATCTGAGCCAGGCCAGGGGGTGTATGGCCACCTCTGGCTTATGGGACCTCCAGCTCCCAGCATGCATTGCCCCACCCTGATCTGGGGGAAATCAGACAAGCTGCACCCACTTCTGATCCCTGTTCATGGGATCCACTTGCTCCTTGGCCTCTCTGCTGATGTTACCCGCCAGAGGGGGATTTCTGAGTCCTGGGCACCCAGGCTGAGAACTAGCCAACTCATTGCACCAGGGAGCCACCCAGCAGCTACCTGCTGGCCTGGCCTTTGCACCCAAGCCTGGATTGGAACCCGACAGCCCCGCAGAAGCTCCCTGGGGCCTAAGAGGTTCTGCCCAGCCATGTGGGCCACCAGGAGCAGCCCTGGGAGTGTGCAGGGTGCTAAGGGAGAACAGATCCGACCCGCAACCGCTGCCCATCCGCTCCCAAGCGCCACCGCCTCAGCCCCTGCAGCCCAGCAGGGGCAGCATGAGCTTAGCAGGGATCAGGCTTGGTCCTGCGGGGCTCTGGGATGCTGTAGACAGAGCCGTGCGGGGGACGGGTGGGTGATGCCCTCACCTTGTAGGTCCGACACATGGGATTGAAGGAATTCGTCCCGCAGGCAAAGAGGGTCCGGTCGTTCTTGGGCACCAGCACCTTGATGTAGTTGTAACATTCGTCCTGCCGGGGGATAGCCGGGATCCAAGTTAAAGGGAATTGGGGAGGAGGTGTGGGTCTCCTGGCATTGGGGGGCAGAGGTTGGCAGTGGGAAAGAGGGGTCTGTGAGGTGGGGGTGGGCCCTCTGATATGGGGGAGTGTGATCAGGTGGCATGGAGAAGCAAGAAGGAGGTGCGGGGGTGGGGAGTCGGCCACCTGGGGTGAAGCGGGTGTATAAATCACCTGGCACCAGCCCCTGGGTTCACAGATGAGCGAGGAAGAAAGGAGCTGGGAATAACGAGACCTCCCTCTTCCCTAGCCCCTTCCAGCCTGCAGGACCTCAATGCTTACGCCCAGAGCACCGCTGGAATGCAGCCACCTCTGGGGTGGAGGCCAACATCTGATGGGGACATGGGATGTGGCACAATGCTGGGGGCGGGGCCCTGAGCCGAACCCCACGGCAGCTGTAGAGTAGTGGGCTTTGCACTGGGCCCTTAGACCGCAGCTCTCAGGAAATGCCTGGGGCTGCCCCTTGCTACAGGAACTCAGAGACCCATGAGGGAGAGCAGTTCCAGGACTTGTAAGGGGACATGTCCAGCCACCAGCTCCCCCCTCCCCGGGGCGGCCTAGGAGTCAACACTTGTACAGGAACGCCTGGAGGCAGAGCCGCATTACTTACCTGCAGCTTCCCACGCATGGCGCAGTTTTTCATGTCTTGGGTCTTCCAGGTGAGGTGCTAGAGAAGGGGAAGGAAAGGCAAAGGAAGGGGATTAGGGGCGTGGGACCACACAGGCCTCTGCCTAAGGAAGGGAAGGACATGACAGGACCACAGAGGAGGTCACAGGATGCTCCGTGGACAGCTCCAGACACCAGCTTTTAACCCTGAAAATTGCAGCAAGGGAGGTTGAGGTTGGATGTTAGGAAAAAACGTCCTACCTGTCAGGATGGTTAAACACTGGAATAAATTGCCTCGGGGGGTCGTGGAATCCCCATCGCTGGAGATATTTCAGAGCAGGTTGGACAGACACCTATTGGAATGATCTAGACCAGTGTTTCTCAACCTGAGGTACGAGTACCCTCAGGGGTACGCGAGAGACGTCTGGGGGGTACGTCAACACCACTAAAATGTGGAGAAAAATGAATTTTTGTTTTAAGTTTTATGGCGCTTTATTATTGTTGTACTTTTTACACCCAAAAGTTCCATTGCCCAGCTATGATGAAGTTGTTTAAACAAATGTGTGTTGCGATGGTAGAAAAAAAATGTGTGTCCGAAAACTGTAGGTACTGGGGGCACTTATAATTTTTTTTTTTAAAAAAGGGGCACTTTATAAAAAAAAAAAGGTTGAGAGACATTGATCTAGACGGGGCTTGGTCCTGCCGTGAGGGCGGGGGACTGGACTTGATGACCTCTCGAGGTTCTTTCCAGTTCCAGGATTCTATAATTCTGAGCGTGGAGGGCCAAGATCAATAGCACTGGAAAGGGACCACAAGAGGACATCAAGTTCAGCCCCCTGCCCTCGCAGCAGGACCAAGCACCGTCTACTCTAGACCATCCCTGACAGGTCTCTGTCTAACCTGCTCTTAAATATCTCCAGGGATGGAGATTCCACAACCCCCCTAAGGAATTTATTCCAGTGTTTAACCACCCTGACAGGCAGTTTTTCCTAATGTCCAACCTAAACCTCCCTTGCTGCAATTTAAGCCCATTGCTTCTTGTCCGATCCTCAGAGGCCAAGGAGAACAATTTTTCTCCCTCCTCCTTGTGACACCCTTTAATCTCCAGGCCAGTGTTCTAAACTCCGGATCCAGAGGTCCTGACTCCAGACTCCCTGCTCTAACCACTGGAGAACACTCCCTTTGCAGAGCCGGGAACAAAGCCCACAAGCTCTGTGTCCCGGCCCCCCTGCTCTAACCACTGGAGAACACTCCCTTTGCAGAGCCGGGAACAAAGCCCACAAGCTCTGTGTCCCGGCCCCCCTGCTCTAACCACTGGAGAACACTCCCTTTGCAGAGCTGGCAACCAAGCGGGGAGGTACATTCACCTTGTTATGTTCTCCAGGCCAGTGTTCTAAACTCCGGATCCAGAGGTCCTGACTCCAGACTCCCTGCTCTAACCACTGGAGAACACTCCCTTTGCAGAGCTGGCAACCAAGCGGGGAGGTACATTCACCTTGTTATGTTACATGTGACTTCTACTGTCCTATAGTAACCTGACGTGCGTGCCTCAGTTTCCTGGGGCACTGCACCAACACCTAGTTGGCGATGCGAATTTTGGGTGTGATTCCCATTGAGGGAGGCTACCCCAACCTCCCTCAACTCCACCTTTCTAACCTGAGCAGGAAGGGGGTGCGACAAGGTGACACTTTTTGCCTGGGAAGCAAGACAAAGGCAAGAGGAAGAGCCTGCCGGGGGGGGGGGGGGGGAGGGGGGGGGTGGGGGGTCAATCGTGGCTGGCTGGGGAGACATAAGAAGGGCCAAGGCCCTAGCTCTGGGCTCCCCTCTCCCCAAGATGGACTGTCCCGGCTGCTTCTGGTTCCTGTGCTGACAAGTCTGTTCTATGCTGTTAACTAATGAACCTTCTGTTCTACCTGCCGCCTGAGAGTCACGTCTGACTGCGGAAGGGGGTGCAGGGCCCTCTGGCTCCCCCAAACCTTAGGGGACAGCCGGGGATAAATCCCCCAAGCCCTGTGCTCCAGCCCCCTGCTCTAACCACTGCCCCACACATAAGAATGGCCACACTGGGTCAAACCAAAGGTCCATCCAGCCCACTATCCTGTCTGCCAACAGTGGCCAATGCCAGATGTCCCACAAGGAGGGAAAACAACAGGTAATCCTCATGTGATGCCTCTCCTGTCATCCATTTCCAGACACACATAGGGACCCCATTCCTACCCATTCCGGTTAATAACCATTGATGGACCTAACCTCCATGAACTTATCTAGCTCTTTTTTTAACCCTGTTCAAGTCCAAGTCTTCCCCACATCCTCCGGCAAGGAGTTCCACAGGTGGATTGTGCGCTGAGTGAAGAAAAACTTCCTTTTGTTTGTTTTAAACCTGCTGCCTATTGATTTCAATTGGTGATCCCCAGTTCTTATGTTAGGGGAACAAAGTAAATCACTTTTCCTTATTCACTTTCTCCACACTGGTCCTGATTTTATAGACCTCTCTCCTAGCCCCACAGCCTCCTCTTTTCTAAGCTGAAAAGTCCCAGGCTTTTTAATCTCTCTTCCTATGGGACCCATTCCAGACCCCTCATCATTTCTGTTGCCCTTTTCTGAACCTTTTCCAATGCTGATACATCTTTTCGGAGTGGAGGCGACCATATCTATACGCAGTATTCAAGACGAGGGAAGACAGCCAGACATCCTCCCACAACCCAGCACAGAGACTCCCTTTCCTCCTTACCCTGTGGGGATAGAAGTCCTTTGTGGCCTGGCTGAGATCAAAGGCATACACATGGTCCCTGCGGGGGGAGAGAGAGAGTGAGACGGGCATGTGATAATCTCCTGAGGACGTCAGCAGGCCGTGGCTGGGGGCAGGCTAGGCTGGGCTGGGCTGGGGGTCTGTGCGTTGGTGTGCTATGGGCAAGGTGTATGAGCAGGCTCCGGCTGGGTGAGGGGTGTGCAAGCTGTGGGCCAGGCTCCTGCCTGGGCTGGGACAGGTGTCTGCTCTGGCTGGGGGCACACAGGGGTTGTGAGAGGGCTGTGTGAGGTGTAGGAGGAGGTGCAAGTCCTATGGCTGGACGAGGGGGGTGTACACCTGGTGGTTGTGTGCGAAGCATGTGAGATGCGCTCTGCGGCTGTGGGATGGGGTGTGTACATGGGGTTGTGCAAGGGGCACGGGAGGTGTGTGCTGTGAGTGTGTGGGAGGGCTGTGCTCACACTGCGGTTGTGAGAGGGCTGGAGGAGGTTTGTGCTGTAATGAGGGAGGGAGGTGTTCACCCTCTGGCTGGGCAAGAGGCATGGACACTGGTGTTTGGGTGAGGGGTGGGGGCACAGGCAGCTCAGGGAGGTGTGTGCACATAGGCAGTTGGTAAGGGGTGTGGGCACAGGCAGCTCAGGGAGGTGTGTGCACA